GATGGAACAAAGGTGTGTCACTGAATTCCTCGATGAGACAAAAATGGCACCTACTGACATTCATCACTGTTCTCTGTACATTTCTGGAGGCAGGTGATGTGAGCAAAATGAGTCAGTGGGTGGTGCTTTTCAGTACTGATGAAAGTGGTGTGAAAGACATGCATGTTTCAGATGGCCTTTCACAGCTTTCATCTGTTGTCATTTCCACAGAAAAAAAAAGAGGAGGCATTAGTTTCAGAGCAATGTACATATCTAAAATTTCATGCTTACTTTTCATGTCTATTTTTTAAAGACACTGTCACAAGCAGTGTGAGAACTTTCTATAGCTATTTACAGAAGACTTCTGTTAATGCTTTCTTGTGTATTGTTTGGAGTTTGTGGTCATAACAAAATAGATGTTTTCTCATAGAAATCTCAGTTATTTCTGATTATAGAGTCATGAGACCTTTAAAAAACATTCTGTTCATTCTTTTCATATTACCCTGTCTTTATAGACCAGCTTGTATAAATATTTTCATTTTGAAATCCTTATTTTTATGCTTTACAGTATACTTATAATGTTATTTTTAATAAAATATTGACCTTTCCATGTAATCAAGTTTTCTGATAGATAAAATAAACACCTTATTTATTTTTGTCTAATAAAATATACTATATTTTAATTACCAGACAAAAAGTATTCACCATTTACTCTGCAAAACTGCATATAAATTCCTGTAAACAAGTCTTTGCAGTTTTATTACAGTCCATTTCACATTAAGCATTGTATGGTATTTCAATTTTCCCAGCTTAATTAAGAACAGTAATGAGATTCTAATGCCCACTTAATTATTTCACCACAGTTACCAATGTGATTAATCAGCTGTCCGTGATGCCCCACTTCTCTACATAGACTCCAATAACTAAGTCTCAGTTGGCAAAGCAGCTTGTGGAAAGGAACTATGAGGTCAGAAGTTCTGTATAGAAAAAGAGTGAAAAACAAAAGCAAACCTTTTGCTAGTCTTGCTGAAGGGCAGTCTTGAGGGTAAAAAAATTGATACCTAGATAAAGTTATTTGTAGCTTTTTTTTTTTTTTTTTTTTTCTTGCCATCTTCATAAGTCTCTTTTTAATTATACTAGTTATACTAGTAGTAAGAGTTGTCAACTTGGGCCCATTTGAAACAAAAAACAAAAATTTCATCTGTCCATTTTTTTTTTTTTTCAAAACAAAATATAGAACATCACCATGTCTGAGTAGCAGGTTATTACCTCAAGATTTGCAAAAACATCTGCCCTACCTTCATACCTACTCCTCTTACATGGATACACTTTCATTGAAGAGATAGGTAGGATTGTTGAATCCTACATCTCAGATCAACCAGCATCAAGGTACCTATCAAGATATTTCCTGCTACATATGGTTTCTGTTGCAGAACCTTCTGGAGTATTTCAAAGACAAGATGAAACATGACTGATTTCCAATTGTCCAAATCTTCTGAGATCAACCCTGCAGTTCACTTACAAGGCTGTGGTATTTCTCCTGGAAATAAGTTAAAACTTTTTAAATGTAAACAGGAGATGATAGCACACAGGAGATGCAAGTCTTCTGAATATGCTGCATTAATTACAAATAATATTTAAATTACACATTTATCATTATTTAAAACGACTGGAGGACCTATGCCAGTTCCCACAAAACAAGGACACACACATGTATTGTTAGTTGTGTTTTGCTTGTCTGCCTTATTTCCTCTCTCTGACTTTTTACTGTAGCCATAAACAACTCTCTTTAAAAAATCCTGAGCACATTCCTTTTCTGAAACATAGACTTCTGCTCCTTCACCATCTTACCTCAGCTTCTAATGCTCTGAGGAATGTACTGAGAAATTGTATTTTAAACTAGTAGCAAAATAATTTCTTCTTGATTAACCAACACAGGAACTACTGAAAACTACTGAAAACAATAAATAAATAAAATTCTACTATTTCACCTTTGCTTTGCCTTGTTCCCAGATTTTCTGTACAGCTGTGGTGAAAGAAAGTTCACATTTATAAGTTTTATAAGTAGATACAACCAGCAGAAGGAAGCATGTTGTGCATAGTAGTGGCATACTGGCAGATCAAAGGACCATTTTACTACACAGATCTTTCCCTGTGTAATTCTTGAAACTACATCAGAGTTACTGAAAGCTGGACGAATGGTACCATTATATAGAACTATTAAGTGACTGCAGTACTAATTAATATAAGCACTATGACAGAATCCAGTCCTCTCGGGTGTTTGAATTCAGAAATTCGGTACTAGCTACTTAAAAAAAGAGAGAGGGAGAGAAAGAAATATTTCAGTGCCTCAGAGAAATTATGTATATGATGCTACATAAAAATGTAATCAACATTTTGAGTGTACTTCAAGTTGTTTCACTCCGAAAATATTATCTGACCATCTGAAAAACCAAATTATTTTTGAATGCTTTCCTTCTTTCCTCTTCTCCAAACTGCATTTAAAACTATGTTTCTAGTAACTTAAGTAATTCATTAAAATGTAAGTGTTTTTATTGAAGGATTTTTTTGTTTTGTTTTGTTTTGTTTTGTTTTTCACACTCCCAACTTTGAAGGGCATGAAAAAATTAAAATTATATTGTGCAAAGAAGGGAAGTAAATATTTTTGATTTCACACTGCCTTATCCCTGCCTGTCCAAAAAAACAGAATACTTGACACAGAATATCCAGATAGATAACTGGTTTTAGGCATACTGTGGCAGTAACCAATTGATTTATTTACTACAAATTCTTCTCCTCTCTTCTTGTTATTTTATGAAAACAATTTGCTACACGTCTTAAGCAGCATAGTACCAGGTCTACATTTCCTTCTACTTCAATACAGGCTAATGTAACAGTTTCAGTGGTAATATTTTATAAAAGTAGGTATTCACAGGAGATTACTGAATGATCTCATTAACATTAGCTTTTTCTTTGAATTTTCTTACCTACTTCTGTTGATGTGTAGCAGAAAAATGAAAACCTTTGCCTCACCTAACGTCGCCTCACTTCTTTTGTAAATCATAGCATCATAAAGTTTTGGATCTACTGCAGCAAACTGTGCTAGAGAATTTAATGAGAGGAAGACCTAAGCCCAACCATCCACTTAACACGATAGAACCCCCCTAGATCATGTTCCTAAGCACCACACCCACTCATCTCATAAACACCCCCACTTTCCAGGGCAGCCTGTTCCAATGCCTAACCACACTTTCTCTGAAGAAATTCTTCATGCTATCCGATCTAAATCTTGCCTGGCACAACTCGAGGCTGTTGCCTCAGGCTGTGTCAGTGCAGAGCAGGAGGAAGAAATTTAAAAAATGCTGTATGTTCCTGTATTTGTTTCACGTTTAGACACTGAGAAGTAAGGGTTATTATCTTCAACATTCGGAAATAGAATAAAAGACAGCAAGCCTATTCCAAAAGTTTTGTCACTATGATACTTGCTAAAATCTTTCATTTTACTTGCTGTAAGTAACTATGCTGTGAATTAGTAGCAACAAGAAATAGCACTGTCTGCAGATAATTCTTTCCTATTACTGGGAAAAAAGATTATTTAGTATTTTTCCTTTCATGAAATATTCAGTCTTCTGGCAATTGAAATAATTTAACTACAGTTTTCATAGATATGGGATCATAAAAGCAGGGAGAAAAACCTCAATAATTTTGATTTGCTACTATATTGTATTAGAATTTGCCTGTTGGCAATATTTCATGAATGCTTTAAGTACCATCATGTGAGAATCCCTCTTTGCTTTTTTTTTGGCTCAAAGCTTGCTTCCTGAGGTAGTTTGTTGAGGCAAGTGATGGGTGCTGTGTGGACAATTTTACATCTTTGGAGCTGTTTGCCTTCGGAAGATAGTGCTCAGGACTGTTTACTGGCGGAAGAACTAGCCTGTGACCAAATAACTCCTGTTTGCTATGGGAGGCTGGGGGATGATACCATTGTATCCTGCAAAGGCAAGATGCAAGTTGGTGCCTCCCTACTTCCTCTTATCTGCTGGCAAGGCCAGGAAGATAAGAACAAAGGAGTTTCCTGCTGAGGCCCCAGAGCCAGAAGCTGACCACTCTGAAACTATTGAAAAGGGGCCATCATCACCATGGTCATCTCTCGTCGTCCTTCGTCGTCAATAGAACAACAATGCCCTACGACCCACCACTACTGAGGATCAAAGACGGAACTACGAACCACCCTAGATCCATGGTGGTGACTATGTCCCTCTTGCTTCCTATAAAGACTCCTTGCTTCTTCTTTTCTATCTTTTCTATCTCCTCCTTCCCTTCCCTTCCCCCATTACCCTAATTCATAATAGTGTCCGTTCTCCCTTTCCCCATTTCCCCTGATTAAGATTTGTAATAAACTGGTCGGACCAACATTTGAACCGTTGCTTCTTAATCTCACGCCGGGTATATAGATAATAAAAGAACCTCCTCTCCCTCCTATAAATTGGAGAGAGACATTTATTTAATGGCGTAGTCGGCAGGATACCGCTGTGAGAGTGTTGTCCTTCCAGATATAGTTTGAAACTTCTTTTTCTGTGTGCACTTCCTGGAGTTGCATGGAGCGATATTTTTTGAAAACTTAGACGTGAGTCCTTCTCCAGGAAGACCACTCCATATTCTGAAACTTTACCTTTTATGTGTGTACCTCTCGGGGACGTATTTTTGAATACTTGCATTTTGTTTAATACGTGTGTGCCTCCTCGGGAAGACCTCTCTGGTTATTTGGTAGGAAGTGGTATTTTGTTACTTAAACGTGTGTGCATCTCCAAGAAGTTTTATTTACTACATTGAAACCTAGAAAGTGTTGCTTTAGCTTCACATTTTTTGTGCTCCCCCAAAGAAAGGGAGGAGTAATTGGAACATTTGCATTTGTTTAGGTGTGGTGTATCTCCCCGGGAGGAGAGATAAGGAGTCACTTGAGCTTTTGAATACGTGCACCTCCACCTCCCTTAGTGTTGGTTTTTCATTGTATTGAAAAAATGAGCGACAGCATTGCCACCATGAAAAGTGAAGATGTGTTATTTGACCTTTTAGAAAAGCATGGTGCTCGTCCCTCTTTATCAGGTATGGATTGGGCACGACAGAACTGGTATAACTTGCAGAGTGTTTCGGACCGTATTAGTATCCTGCAAAAGAATGCTCGTACTCGAGCTGGAAAAGGAAAGTCCTTTATTTGTGCCGTACTCGGGGCTACTTTAAAAGCAGCTGTGGAGTTCCGAAATGAAAAGCATTCGGCAGAACTCCAAACCATAGAAGCACTACAGGAATCGGTTAGAGTTACACTAGAATTGGTAAAAACTCTGCAGAATCAAATAGTTAATCTCGAGCAACAATTAGAAAGAGAGAAATGTAATTCGGCTTTGTTGCAAATGGCTTTTAAGGAACTGCTAACGTGTAAGCATGCCAGCCATACCGTCACCCACATTTTGCCTCAAGAAAAAACTTTTCCTCTGGTGGAGCTACCAGGAATGAAGGAAAGGCTAGATAAATTAGAAACTCCAATAGCTCCATTGCGTCCTTTGATAAAAACTGAATACATATTCGATAACAGTGAGGATCTAGATCCTCAAATGAATGTTAAGGAAATTCCCTTCTCAGCCACTAAACTGGCGAAATTGAAGAAAGATTTCAGCCGCTCTCCAAAGGAATCAGAAACAGAATATGTATGGAGGGTTAGTCTCATTGGTGGCGACCAGATTCTGCTAACAGAAAAGGAGGCGGAAGGTTACTGGGGACCAGGAGTATTTTTAACTACTGGCAACAGTCGTGCTCCCTGGTCCTTAACACAAAGGGCTGCCTATTGGGCAGGTGGTCTCAACCCTTTAGAACGGGGAGACCCTCTTGCCATTACTGGAACAACTGATCAGTTAGTAGACAGTGTTCAAAAGGCTGCTTGTCTCCAAATGATGTATGATAGAAAGCTGCAGCCACACCATGAATCACCTATGATGATGCCTGTTGATCCTGAGAGAATGACTGCTTTAATTAGAGGGCTTCCAGAGTCATTAAAACCTATAGGGATACAACTGCAAGGAAAAATAGAGGCTATGTCTCAGGGAGAGAGAACCCTGCCAGTGTTAGAAGGAACTATAACCCCCAACCATCTGCAGTCAGGAAACAAAGCATGGACGTGGGGAGAGGTTGCCCAAGAGTTAATTAACTATGGAAGGAAATATGGGCCAGTGGTTTCTTCCTCCATTAAATTTGAGCCAAGGGAAGTACGACTTGCAGCAGTCAGCCTTGCCCCCAGGCCTCCTAGCTCAAAACTCAGTGGGACTGGAAGGGTCTCACTGTCAGTAAAAACAGGTAGGAGAAATATTGATCATAAACGTAATTGTCTCTGGACATTGAGCTGGCAAAAGGGTGTTCCACGAGATTTGATGAATGGATTACCCACTGTAATGTTAGAGAAATTAGTTAACTGGTGGCCAGAACAAAAGATCCAGAATCTTGAGGAAAGCAAAACCCCAGGTCCTAGGGTCCCTCCCAGGGAACCTGAACGGCTATCCAAGCCATTAGAAAACTGATGTCTTCGCCCCTCCCAAGTGAGCGGGGTGGGGGCGGCGAAGGGTGGATGCATGAGAAAGCTCACAACAAAGGGAAGCAAGATCCTCGATTTAACACCTTCTGTCCAAAGGCCCCACCACTCTTGCCAGTTATCCCTGTGAGTCACGATCCAGTGGCTGATAAGCCAGGGAAATACTTTTACCTCTCTGGCCAGACTGTGTCGATTGACTCAGCAAGCCTGATGCCAGTTTCCCTAACCTTAACGGGATCCCTTAACAAATATCCTTGGAAGGCTAAAAGACACCCTGAAAAAGGAATATGAAATCAACACTTGCTGGATTGTTCCCTCATTTTTTAATCACATTAACAAAGCCCAAAAAAGGCAAGTCGGTGTCTTGTTTTATTTTCACAGAAGATCCCCGTGGGACCTTCACAGAACACAAAAAGGCTAATAGCTGATTTTAACCATTTGTGTTTTGTGATAGAAATACTGAAGATTTGATCATGCTAGAACACTGAATGTACCTCTTGATTACATTTTTTGGTTGCAATAGTGTTATGTTTTGTGTTGTTGTGGGTGTGGGTGGTGATTGGTATCAGTCCTTGGATCTGTTAAACTTCACAACTGGGTTCAGGGTTTTTTACAGGTCATCCTGGTTTACTGGCACTCCCTGCACAGTGATACCATTTCTTTTGACTCCTTCTTTCACCCCTTTTTACCAAACTGATTATGATTTGCATGTAACTCCTCCACAGTGTTTCCAAATTCCTAACAAACTGGGAAATGAATCAAGGGACTCATCTAATATCTATTAGATGAGGTCACAAGAGAAATCTATCATAAAGCCTTTTGCACTGATGCTTTTCAGTGTCACACCAGTCCAGGAGTTCCATCCAAAACATGGTTGTTGGAAAGTGCCTAAGTTTTAAAAAGAGCTGCGTGTGTTTCTGGGATAACCCCTCTGTGATGGTTTGTACTGTGGGGGTATCCTGCACACACTGTCCTGTGAAAAGTTCTGTGGACTGTAACAATACTTTAACTTGCCAAACTAATATTTATATCTCTCAGCATTTGAATTGCTTTGGAAATGCTCGAGTGGAAAGTTCTTGAGACACTAAATCATCTTAGAAAACATTCCGTGGCAAGTCCACATGTTGTCAAATTAGACTAGATATGCTTTTAGTAAATTAACTGAAGTGTAATATTGTATGGCTATTCATAAACACCACAACCTCTACTGAAGAATTCCCATCTGGATCCTGGCTTACACTGGGAGTTCCTGGGTGGGGAAAGCAGCTGACACAAATTCCTAAGTTTGTTTTACTTGTTTGTTTATTAATATTGGTTATTGTTAAATCTATGGTCATTGCTAAATGTATAGTTGTCTCTTTTCACTTTCTACCTTTTATTCATCATGTAACATTTGTGTCACCACTCCTGATGTATCACCAAGTGGTGTCTGTGGCAAACCAAATGATTCTAATTGTTGTCTAAAGATTGATGATAATGGTAAAGTTGTTAAACCAATTGCCCGGGGTATACGGAAAATAGCCCATGTTCCTGTCCAAAACTGGAAAAGCCTGGACTTTGATTTCTTTTCCTGGCTTCCAGGTGGCCCATGGGTCAAACGTATCCTATTTTCTCTACTGTGTGTTGTTGCAACTCTTATGTTTGTACCGTGTATGATTCTATGTTTTATTCAACTTATACAACGTGTTGTATCCTCCATGTACTTTGTAACTACTTCAACTGATGATGGACAAGTCCAACAGATCAGGGCAACATTTGTAACCAAGCCCAAGAAATCTTTTGTAGTAATTGTGTAACGATTATCTTCCCCTTCTCCCTCCCCTCCTCCCCCCCTGCTTCTTTGCTGTCTTTTTATTTTCTGCCTTTTCCTCACCACCATGGAGGGTCACTTATGCTTCATTTCAAGCAATCTTTGAGCCACGGGGTGGTGTGAGAATCCCTCTTTGCTTTTTTTTTTGGCTCAAAGCTTGCTTCCTGAGGTAGTTTGTTGAGGAGACAAGTGATGGGTGCTGTGTGGACAATTTTACATCTTTGGAGCTGTTTGCCTTCGGAAGATAGTGCTCAGGACTGTTTACTGGCGGAAGAACTAGCCTGTGACCAAATAACTCCTGTTTGCTATGGGAGGCTGGGGGATGATACCATTGTATCCTGCAAAGGCAAGATGCAAGTTGGTGCCTCCCTGCTTCCTCTTATCTGCTGGCAAGGCCAGGAAGATAAGAACAAAGGAGTTTCCTGCTGAGGCCCCAGAGCCAGAAGCTGCCACTCAAAGGAGAGCTGACTCAACCACTTTGGATTTGAGCTGTCACTCCAAAGACAGCTGACTCGACCACTCTGAAACTATTGAAAAGGGGCCATCATCGCCATGGTCGTCTCTCGTCATGCTTCGTCGTCGTTGTCAACAGGACAACTCTGCCTGACGACCCACCGCTACTGAAGATCAAAGACTGAACTATGAACCACGCTGGATCCATCGTGGTGACTCTGTCCCTCTTGCTTCCTATAAAGACTCCTTGCCTCTTCTTTCCTATCTTTTCTATCGCCCTCCTTCCCTTCCCCAGTACCCTAATTCATAATAGTGTCCGTTCTCCCCTTCCCCATTTCCCCTGATTAAGATTTGTAATAAACTGGTCGGACCAACATTTGAACCATTGCTTCTTAATCTCACGCCGGGTATATAGATAATAAAAGAACCTCCTCTCCCTCCTATAAATTGGAGCGAGACACATCACTACAAGACAGCAATCCTGATTTATATTGGGATTGCACCCTCTGTACTGCAGCCACAGCTACTGAATAATGTAGTATGAATCAGAAAAGCACAGCAGGAGAGTTTTGTTTTTATAACTTAGCAGCTCTAAATTCAGCTTAGAGTGTTGAAGAGAGTAAGTCCTTGCTAATTGTAGGCCATGATCTCTCGCATTTTCCAGGTGTTGAATTTCCATTAACTCTACTTGATAGTTTGAATTCATCTTGGATAGTTTTGCTGATTTGTAATTTATGAAAAAAATGCAGATTACCTTTTAAGGGATACAGACATGTTTAGATTTTCAAAGCCTGCAGCTACATTTCTTTGGAAGCTGAGTAATGCATCACCGTGCTTCCAGCAGGCCTAAGTACTTTCACTTAGAAGCAAGAGGAAAAAATGATGCCCTGTTGGTTACAGTTGATATGTCTGAGGTCTGAAGTTCATGATCCAGCATTTCTTCAAGGAACTGTATCTATGAAAAGGAAAATATTACACCTTTTGTGTTCAGACATATTTCCTTAAGCAGAATATAAGTCAGTTGCCCTGAATTAATTCTATAATATTTCTGTAAATAAAATAAATATTTCTAATATTTCTATATTGTAAACTCCACAATTCCTAGAAATAAGATTAGTAAACTTGAAAGAAAATTGCCTTTGTGTAAGAATATTGGGGTAATAACATTAAATATTGTAATTGAAGGTAAAATATTCTTAGGAAAAGTACAGCAGATTTTGTAAGAGGAGCAATGATTTATTCTTAGAGTCAAATATTCAAGAATGAAAGATTCCCTGTACACTGAAAATCTAGTGATAGCAAACATTTTGGAAAAGGAGAACATAAAGAAAAATCAGTAATAATGGTAATTCACAAACGTTACTGTATTTACCGTGTGAAAGCAATGAAGTGAATGTAAACAAAGTGGTTTATTTTTATGTAAAATCACATTAGCATTAGAGACGAATTGCATTTAAAAATATATTTTAAAAAAATCATAGATTTGTAGCAGAAAAATGTGACAGGAATTCTGGACAGAACTTCAGAAACAGAATCATTTTTAAGTAGAAGCAATAGTTCTGAACCAGCTGCAAATTAATTTATTTTTCAGATGGACCAGAATTCGGATGAAATGGGTTAGTTTCCATTTCAGACATTTAAATAAAGCTAAATAAAAATTCAAATTCCTGCAAGAGATACACCATACAGTTTGTCTTCATATTTGCTGTTGCAGAGGAGACTTCCTGGAAATCTCATTCTCAAAAATTTCAGCAATTCAAACAGTGTTCACCAAGACAGAGGAAAATTCTCTAAGGGAAGAATCAGGAAAATTAGCATTGAGGAGGCAAGCAGCCAACCCGTTGTAGAGTTTGTATGAGGACATTGTATACTTCCATCTAACACAAGGGGACTAATTAGCTTGAACAACCGTATTTATCTCAGTCCATAACAGTTCAACATCTGTGTCAGGGGAAATGTTGTTTCTCACTTGTAGGAGACAATAATTAATATTAATTAAACTCCTCTTGCTGCAGTCTGATCTAATAACTTCTATCAACCATTATTAAGTCCTTGGTCTTTTGATCCTTAAATTATTTCCTTTGTTGAATCTGTGTAAACTGACACTGTTTAAAAAATTCTGCAGGAGTGAAGAGCTGCCCAACTATGACAGACATGAGGGAATGATATATGCTAGACAGAGGATTTCTGCCTGTTCATTTGTTCAGTCATGAACATCAGTGTTTCTAATAGTAAGCAGACTGAACCATAAATATACTATAATAATGAACTACAATACTGCTAATGGTTCATATATTTAAATATTAATGAGCTCTTGAAGTTATAAGTTTTGCTTATATTAAATAACAGAATTATTTAATATCTTTCAAAGAGAAGCTGAATTGATATGAATTCTGTGTCTAGTGATTTTTAAGGGTAAATTTTTGTTCTTCATAGTTCACTGTAATTCATAGAAACCATTTGAATTAATGTTTGCCTTTAACGGTCTTGAGACCAGTGCTCTTCAACATCTTCATCAGTGACACAGACAATGGCATCGTGTGCATCCTCAGCAAGTGTGCAGACCACATAAAGCAGAGTGGTGCAGTCGATACATTGAAAGGAAGGAAGCCATCCAGAGGGACCTGGACAGGCTGGAGAAATGGGCCCATGCAAAACTAATGAGATTCAGCAAGGTGCTGCACTTCGGCTGGGGCAATCCCAGGTTTTTATACAAACTGGGAGCAGCCCTGCGGAGAAGGACTTGGGGGTCCTTGTAGATGAGAAGTTGGACATGAGCCAGCAGTGTGTGCTTGCAGCCCAACAGC